GCCAGAACCAGAGGGGATTGGAGATTGGAGCTGGGTATTGGAGCTGGGCTGGCCGTCAGATTTGTCCTATCCCTGCCCACTCCAATACCCTCCTCAGGACCTCTTCGAGGCCCTCCAAGTCCTCTTTGCAACCCAACACACCTGTGTTTCCACGACATATATGAGGGAGAAGAAGAGGGATTCAGGAGCTCCCCTTCGAAGGCTGAGGCTGGGTCTCTGGCCCCAGAAGGAAGATGCCAGCGAATCCTGTGTTCCCTGGAATGCTTGCCAGGATTGCTCAGAGGCTAAGTTCAGACGATGATGGATAAGAACGCTCTTCCTTCATCGCTCCCCTCCTTGGCCTGATGCCAGCTCCGGTATGAAGATCCCTGCAGTGTGTCCAGCGACACTCAGTCAGGGGAACTCTGGCTCAATGCCAGTGAGCAGAGCAGGAAAGGAAGCTGGTCTCCTCAAACTCTCTCAAGCATACATACAACGGTACATCCTCCCTTTTAGCAAAGCATTCATTCGGCCGAGCCACATCATCAGCGGACATGGAAGGTGTGATGGTCACTCTGGGCCGGTTCACACATGCATGTCCTTGATGCTGGGAAAGCAGCACCAAGCACCAAGCCAGTGCAGAATGACCTTCATGGGCAGCGACTGAGTTGCCACCTCCGCAGTGATCTTGTTACACCATACGAATTCCCCCCATCGCATCCGTACTGGATTCTTTCCTTCCAACATCCTCTCTGCCTGCCTTATCCTCTGCTTTCTCTCTTTAACAGCTTTTCTGCTTCCAGGACATCTATCCTGAGGACTGATCCCTGCTCTTTATTATTTGACAGTTCCCTATGGCTTCATACACTGGAAAGAAAACTTGTGAAGACCAGTAAAAGAAGGGGACCCATGCAGAGTCCAACAGAGTCTCTGTTGCTTTAACATCTCCCTACCTATAAATCCTCCTTCTCCATTTAGAGAGTCCTTTGGATTAATCCACGCAGAATATAAACTAACTAAATAAATAAATGTTATTTATTGGATTATTGTAATGTGCTCTTCATGGGGCTGCCCTTGAAAATGGTCCAGATACTTCAAGTGGTCCAAAATAGAGCTGCCAGTTTGCTGACGAGGACTGGTCGTTATTCTCATATAATGCCGGTCCTCTATCAGCTTCACTGGCTTCCGACTGAAGTCTGGGCCCAATTTAAGGTGCTGGTGTTAACCTATAAAGCCCTGAATGGCTTGGGACCAGGATACCTGAAGGAACGTTTCCTTCCCTATAAGCCCTTACACCCCTTAAGACCTGCAGAGAGGCTCTGCTCTGGGAACCCTCTCTAAAAGAGATAAAAAGGACATCAAGGCAGAGTAGGGCTTTCCCAGACTCTGGAATGTGCTCCCCAGAGAGGTTTGTCTGGCACCAACTTTATATTCTTTTCGGCACCAGGTGAAAACCTTTTTATTTGCCTGCCATTTTAAGTACTAGGATTTTTAACCGGTTTTTAATTATCCACAATCACATTTTGTTTCTGTTTTTGTTTTGATTTTGGTTTTTGATTTTGGCTTTGTTCTCATTGATAATATGTTTATGTTGGTACATGTACATTTTTAATTATTGTTAATTGTTGTTTTGACTATGGATTGATTTTTTTTGTTTTTGTAAGCCATCCTGAGACACTTTGTGTATAGGACAGGATATAAATATTTTACATAGATAGATAGATAGCTAGATAGATAGATAGATAGATAGATAGATAGATAGATAGATAGTCAGTCCAGTGAATGCAAATTAAAAAGAACTACAGCATCTTTGAAAAAGCAAATAAATAAATAACCTCCACATTCTCCTTCAACCCTTCTTATTGAACCAGAATCCCATCCTCCCTGACTTTAGGGTGAAGCAGTAACAGCATGAGAACAGAGTTTAAGCAACGGATTCCAGAGAGAGTGCTATTTTCAAGTGTGAAAATGCCAATATCAAAACAGAAAACGACAGCAGAAAATACAGTTAATGGTTAATGGTGGTTAGATGCTATTCAAACACAAATACACACAAATATACACAGACATCTGCCTCTGGATACTTCATATGGACGAATGTTTCTGACTAATATTCCTCCAGCCAGGATACAAGAAACCTGCATCTTTGATATTCCTAACCTTCTGCAACTGTACTCAAGACGGGTTTCATTTTAGAAAGCCAGGAAATTAAGCCATGAGGCTCTAATGTGTGATACTGATGCTTTGCCCATCCATCATTGTGAAGCTTCGTATACATTCTTTTTCCTTCAGGCAACTTGGGAGTCATGGGACTTGCCTCATTTGGCAGTACACACCAAACCATGTTGGAAGCATACTTGCAGGCAAGAAAGGAACCGGGTGCCTAGAGCGGTCATGGGCTCTCCCACACCAGAGACGTTCAAGTTGAAACTGGACAGTAACCTGGGTGGGATGGTGTGAGCTGGTGACCTACAGCAGAGGGGGTTGGGCCCACTGGCCTTCTGACCCCTTCCAACTCTACCGTTCTGTGATAGATACGGGCCCAAGCATTATTGGTGTCCTTCCCCAGAGAAATCCCATGGAGTGATCTGTTCCATAGTTAATTCATAGCTTGCCCTTTGACTCACTCGGTGCCCAAAAGCAGTTCTCCCCCAACAAAAATATAAATAAAAATCAGTCAGAGAGCAACAACTGCAAACCTAAACCACATTACAACAATTGGGGTCAACCACTGAATGAGAACAAGAACAAAGTGATGACAGCAGCAGAAAGACCTCGGTCGCAGCTTCTTAATGCGGGGGCGATATGTAGAAGCGCTGCCCTGCCTTTAGACCTCTGCAGGAAGTAGAAAGGTTTTGGGTGCAATCCTATGTATGTTTTTCCCATTTAAACATGAATTTGAGTGTGCATATGACCAGATGCAAAGTCCCATAACAATTCTAACATGAAATCTGAAATGAAAAGCGCTGCGTTAACTCCTAGTACAGAAGGGGAAAACAACAGACATCCACTCATGGCCTGCGACTTGGCTCTTCCTTCCCGTCCCTCTGCTTTCCCCGATCTGCTCCAGAGGGTCTCTCCCCCTCTGGAATGGATTTTGAGAGTGCATGGGAGGGCTGCAAAGGCCGCAGAAATCCCCCTGTCCCATCATCCAGCAGATGGAAGCCATTCCACTGGTGGGAGCAGCTACCTGGATGCAGTCCAAGCATTGCATTGTCATAGTTAGTGTAAGGAAAGGAATGCTGCACTCATCTAGCAGACTGGATTTTCGATGATGTCATTTCTCTGCTGGTGGGGGCAATTATCCCCATCACGTGTGTGGTTCAATGCTCTGACTTCCTCCTCGCTGGGGAGAAAAACGAGTGGGGGCTGGATGCACCCAAACTCTTGCACAAGTTCACCAAAGGTGCATCTGGAGGTTTTGCACATCTGTATTTTGATTGCCCCCTCTCCCTAAATTAGAAATTTTAAAAATGTCATGCTAAGACAAGCCCAAGGTAGTGGCCCATTTAACACAGCAAAAGGCCCAGTAATGACTGCAGATGTGCTACATTCTTCCGTCTTCAGAACTCCTGGATTTTCTACATGTGCCAGGATGCACAGCATGTTTGGTGAGAGCGTTCAGTGTGAGTGTCTTTGCGAGTAAATTTGTGCCCACACCTCTTCTGAGGATGTGACCATTTTCTTCCTGACCTAGCATGTTCCAATGCCGGTCTCATTTTTTTCAGACAAGCCTGCCTGACGCTTAAGTCGGGCTGCTGCTGGATGGCTGTGCACAAGGCGTGACCAGGTCCGCTCCTGAAAGAATCGTTCAAACATCTTCACTGAGGAGGTACAGTTTTCACAGGGGGAGCACACTCTTGCCCTGAACTTGCACTCAAGCAGAAAGAGGAATGGCCTCAGAGGTAGGCAGCTTCGGCATGCCACCACAGGCCTCTCACCCACAATCTGCCAAGTCCCAAGCTAGAGTTCGGTCTTCTCCTTCATGAGCTCCTCATTCAGCCTCTGCAGCTATGCAGCTGTTCCATGCATGATCGCCCACTCTCAAGGGTTGAGGATCTGCTATTGCTGAGCCGTAGGTTGTTGCTGAATCGTGGACAATTGTGTTGTCCACCCCAGCAAGATATTAAACCACGGTGAACAATCCAGAATTCACAACCCAATAGCTGTGGGTTCTCGTCATGATTTGTTCATAGTTAGCGAGCTTAGGTTCAGACAACACAACAACCCATATTTCAACAGCAATCGGTTCAACAATAACCCATGGTCAGCCCTCGAGGGTTGGTCCTCAGGTTGTCTGAACACAGGAGTACTCAAGCTAAGTACGCCAAGGGCTTCGAAGCAGCAGCCCTTCTCTTGAGGCCTTTCTATGCTCAGCTGCTACAGATTCTTTAACTGAAGCTGCAACGGATAGACTTTAGGCACGCAAAGCATGCGGTTTACCACTGGCTGTGGGTAAATAGGGCTCCTAGCTAGGGAAGCCAATCTCCATCTATTCTTCACAGGCCTAATCCAGTCACTGCAGAAGAAATGAAAAAGAATGGCATCCCACTCTCTGAAAAATGACACTTTAGGCTAAGCGTGGATTCCCAAGGATGCTGCCACGTTTGCTTCCTTGCGGTGTCCTGCTTAGAATGTCCATGTTCTGGTTGCTTTTTTTAAAGAAGTGACCTCTGCAGTAACCACTGATGAAAGACCGTGGCCATACGATTCGGAAACAGCATGGAAATGTCTCTCATGTGAACTTCAACATGAGAAAAATCATGAGGTGGCAGCCTTAAATGTTTTCAGAGATCTCTCCCTTGGGATTCTCTTTTAGAGGGAAGGATAAGTGGAATATCAACATCTTCTCTGCACCAGCACTGAACCCATAAGTCGCTAAAGCTGCAAAATGTGTCAAGACCAAATTATTCCGGAAAACCACACAAGTTCCTTCTCTTCCATGAGGAAAGCAGTAACCAACCTCTTTCTTAGCAGACCATATACCAAACATGTCATGGCGAGACTTTGATTGTCCTTACCTGTGGGCAGTCCTTGATGTAGTGTCCCTTGTTGAAGCAAAGATGGCACAGGTAGTTGGGCGGTGGTCTCTTGCTGGGCTTCCTAGCTTCTGATGAGAGGGAGATGTCAGAGAAATGTTCGGTGAGGGAGCTCAGACCATCTGCTATGTTATTGAGGGAGCCATAGGGAGACGCACTCTTGTACAGGCTGGTGCTCAGCGCCTGCCAGACAGAGAAGACAGAATGCGGGACTTAACTCTCCTAATTCGAGTGAGAACGTAAGCAAGACTCCTATCTGACATTACAGCCATTTTATTCATACAACCAGGTCCTGCAAAGAAAAACAAGGCTAACATTGCTTTAAAGCTGAATCGGTCCACACTTTCCTTCTTGCAGTTGGTTATGTCTGACTCGACACCAAATGTGTTGACAGGAAACCAAACCTGCAGCCCAGATCTTACTTAGAGGTATCAGTGGGATTTAATGAGCCGAACAACAAACAAGGCTGTAGCCCCAATCAAGAAAAAGTAACCCAAATCTTTCTGGTTCTGCAGGTCGATTTCTCCCTTGTCTGCAGCAAATAAACAATACTGAACGCTCCTTCACAGCCTCTTCCTGGTAAACAGAATTATTAATGGGTCTATTTTTAAAACACACAGCACAGCACAGGACAACATGATACACTTTCCCCTAGATAGCCATTTCTTGAGGGCAGACAAAGGGTTATCAATATTTTCAGGATTACACAGTCCGATACCTAGTAGATGTATCCCTTTCTATTCCGCTTAAAGATCGCTTAATGTACAAGAAGGTTTGCCATTGAAAGGCCTGTGGAATTCACAAAATACAGCTTTTTCTTCATGTGTTCATGTGTTAATAGGAAATGCTTTACCTGTTGCATTTCTGCCTGTCATGCAGAAATCTCCTCTGAAGCATTATGGAAGAAGTCAGTGAAACATTTTTGGGGGCTCCAATTCTAGCATCACCACCCCTTCCATACTATGGAAATGACAGATTGCACAAGGAGCATTCTAATCCATGTATTGATAGAAAATAAAGTCCTATAGCTCCCAGCATGCCCCAGTCCCACATGGCTAGGGCATGCTGGGAGTTTAAGGATGTTTTTCTGTCTAAACAACATAGGATTGCACTCTAAAATGGACTATTTATGCTAACCATCCCCCACAGGGTCCTCAGTCTGGAAAAACCAATGTGTTGGGTCATCTGCTCAATTTTAAAAGGCCGCTACAGTAATTTCCTTGTTGTTTTCTTGACAGATGGAGGCATCTTATGACTATGTTTAAGAACATTTGTTTCTGAGAACCCTTGCCAGCAAGACTTGGGATAAAACACAGTCAGCTTAGTGCAAGACTAAGAACATTGAAAAATAGTTCATTCAGAAGAGACTCAAAGCCACGAAGGGGTTATTTTCCAATGCTTAGCTTCCCACAATCATTGGAAATTCAATGGAAATTCAAAGAATCAGCCCCCGTTCCCCACATAAGAGAATGCTCTTGGAATCCATGCTTACTCAAAATGGACAATTTTAAAACCTGGAAAACAGAAAGCACAAACAAAATCCAAAAGTAATTGTTCATTTGTGACTGGTTAAGGAGACCTTAACACAGTGTTCTGAGTTTTATAGTCAAGTGGTAACAAGGAGAACTTAGATCTACATCTGTCTTGGATTTTTCTATGGGAAACCTGCTGTGATTTAACTGTTCCATGGTGAATAATTTCTTGCTGTACTTTACTTCCTTGGGATGCCTTCTCACTTCAGTATGAAGGTCAAACCTAGCCAAAGCCAGGGGGGTTGTCATTCTGCTTCCAACCAGCAGTAAACCCCATAACCACTTGGATGGATTAATTTTCCTGATAACAGCAGTGAGTTTTTGTTCTTTCAAATGTTCTATAGTGGCAATGTGGATGTTAGCAAATGGGTCAGCCATCTTTATCAGCTTTTTAAAGAAAAGTCTAGTCTGTGACATAAAGCACTGTGGAGACCATAAGGGTGAGATCTTCTGTGGACCAAGGTGGTTTGGAAATTTGCTCCCTGGTGATCTAAAGAAGAATTCTGTCAACACTTCAGCATCCATAAAGTATGTCATATATGAACAGAAAGATATGAAGCAACTCTGCTTCCCTCTCTCCCTCCCCCTTCCCTGTCGGTATCTTCTCATTCATCCCATCCTATCTCCTGGGCAAATTTCCCATCTGTCAGTAGAGACACCATCCCTGCTTGCCATTTCAGAATCAGAGGTCTCCAACTGCATCCCCAGGCTAGACTTCCCTTACACATCAGTTACACCAAGGACTAGGTGGGTACGGACTAGGTGGGTACAGACTAGGTCAGCTTTTAGATGTGAAGGTTGTCAACCAACTGGCACTTTACTGCTCTGACCACGGGAATGGTGTCCTGTTGGGAAACCAGCACTGAAGCTGAGAAATCCAGTGAATTCCTGATTCTCCAAGGATCCACCCACGATCTGCCACTTTTGCAAGGTTCCACCCACAAGCCTACAAGTTCTACCCTGGCCACACCCCAAGCCCATAACGGTCTGACCTGGCTTTCCCCACCACAGTCAAGATTTCATCCCAGCTTCCCCCCACCCCCAGTACAACTAATCAGGCTATGCTGTGAGGCTCCCTGCCTTGCTGGTTCTTTCTCCACTCAAAAGAGGCCAGAATTTGTTGGGGGAATCCATAAGGTAGCAACCCTATTAAGGGCCTGGTTTGCAACTCTGGAGAACTTCCTTCCTCACCTGAAGCAAGAAGGGTCTCCAGGTGACTCAGCAACTCAAGAGTCTCTTCCCAGCTCAGCATTTGTGAGAGTTTCTTTCCCCCAGGATGTGGTCCTACACAAGTGTGATGGGGATTAAGTTTTCTGGGAATGCCATGCCTGGGCACAAACAGCATAATCTCCTCCTCCTCCTCCTCCTCTGTTTCATTTCTCTACCGCTCACAGTTGAAGTTCTCTGGTACTTCACAACAAGCCACCTCCTCTTGCTTTGTCTTGCTTACCTTTGGGGGATGCTCAGAAAGTGTTTTTCATTTTTTCACTTGCAAATTGTATTGCTGTTCCTGTTTGACAAATGAACACAATATACAAAAATGGCCAAAAGCCCATGGTGGCAAACCCCGTGGCCTCCTTCCCTGAGGGCACAGCAGACCCTAACCCGTCCCTGACCTCTCAATGAGGAACTTGCAATACAGGTCTGGAAGGAAAACCCACTTAAAAATAGCTGTAAGAAGAGAGACTAAATGAGTTCCTGAAATGAATCTGAGTTAAATTAATCCCAGCGAACTTCAGCAGGCTCCTGCACAGCTGAGATAATAAGGGCTAGTCACAAAGAAGCAGTTGCATAGAAGAGGTGAGAGAAATGTTGGTAACTGATTGGGCCCTGGTTCTTAACAGGGCTGCGTTCAGGTTGCTTGGCATCCTTGTGAAATACTTCCATTTTTATCATTACATTTATGTCCATCTTTACTTCCTCCAAGAAGCCCAAGGCAGTTGACATAATCCTTCCCCTTCTCTTCCCCATTTTGCCCTCGAAAAACCCTGAGGTGGGTTAGACTGACGGTCAGTGACTAGTGCTCAGTTTAAGAGAGGCACTGACTGGGTTCAGACATTGCAGTAACCCACACTCCAGGGATGCATGTGGGTTGAGTGTGGGTTATCCTGTTGTGGATTACGTGGATTATCATGTTGTCACAAGATAAACTGAGCCAAGATAACAAACATGGTGAACTAACCCTCTGTTCACAACCCAACAGCAGATCGTGGGTTGTTCGCTGTTAACAAGCCACATGCAATTGAGTTCACACAACACAGCAAGCCATATTTCAACAGCAACAACCCACACACAACCACTGTTGAGTCTGGTTAGCATGTTATTTGAACCTAGTCAGTGACTACCCTAAAGTCATTCAGTAAGCTTGATGGGCCAGTGTAGACTAGACCCCAGGTCTGAGTTTCATTAAACTACACATGAAATGTGTGCTCACGGACATGAACCCACTCTCTTTATTTCCATATCTGGTTTCATCCACTTAGCAGATGCTGGGGTCTTCAGATGGTTCCCACTCCCACTAAAGGCTCCCACGAACCCTCCAGCCTTTGTGTTCCTCCAGCCTTCCTTGCGAGCTTCAGTGCAGGACAGGAGAAACGCTTGTCATCGTTAGGCATCGGATGAGTGTGCAGGGCCTGGAAATGCAGTGCATGCACATGGGAATGGACAAGGACACACAAACACACACACACTGCCCCTTTGATTGCAACAGTTTATCCTGGCCCCGTATTGGTGATGGACAGCTATTCAGTTGCACAAGAGAAAGCGGAAGGAAGTCCTTTGGCCAGGCACTCGGGGCATGAGCCCTTCCGGGGATTGTTGGGTGTGTTGCTGCAATAACTCCATCAGCTCCAATGAACGTAGCCAGTGGTGGTGGATCATGGGAGTTGTCTGCCACACGCTGCTGGACTGCCACACATTCCCCATCCCTGATTCAGAGGACACCTCTGAGGGCAAAGTTTACATGTGCCCCAAAGCCCCGTGATGTGGGGCAGATAACTTTCCAGTGCTTTAATGTTTTGAGGAAACATATGACATGATATGTTCACCAGTCACAAAGAACAAACGCCAACTGCAAATACAGTATGCATTTATTCATTAGATTTATATTCCACTTTTTTCTTTAAAAAGAACTCAAAGCAGCTTGCATCATTCTCCTTTAGCTGCTCTCAGTCTTACCCCTGCAACCACAACCCTGTGAGGTAGGCTGGGCTGAGAGTCTATGACTGGCCCAGAGTCACCCAGTTGGCTCCATGGCTGAGCTGGGACTCGAACCCAGACCTCCTGAGTCCCAGTCCCGTGCTCTTAACCACTGCACCACACTGGCTCCTTCAGAGTTGCATCCATGCTTCCTCAGGCATGACCCTAGCAAGTATATGAAAGGATATGTTTCTGCCACTGAAATACATAAATGTTTCAGAATCTACTCAAACTAAGAAGCAGGGACTGAGAAGCTAAAGAAATGCACATACTGTAACATTCAAATCACATCAAATATTTTGGGTCAAAAGCTTGTGCAAAATAGGGACAAAAATGAGCATAAGGGGTTTTTAATAGCTTTGTTGCTTGATAACAAGGAAAGGGCAGTTTTTGTGTAGTGGTTAGAGTGTTGGACTGGCTTCTGAAAAACTGGATTCTTGTACCCTCCACAAG